GCACGCATCAAACTCGAACTTTAGTGAATAAAGAAGTGAATTGTGTTTAGTTAAGAAACCGTAACGTCTACTTTTTTCAATTACCTTGATCACCGGTCCTTCTGAAAAGGTCGCACGAGCGAGCCACAAACAAAATTTGGTCCTTCGAGCCGGATCGGGGTCAAACCGAGACGGTAGATGAATTTTCAAACGGTTTAATACACAACGACTGGACGCTGCACTACCTTCGGCTCGACGCTCCTCTGGGCTAACAACTTCCGGTCCCATCATGTCCACTTTGGAGGAACTTTTGGCGATTCAAACTCAAACAATGTATTCCATATCGCGAGTTTTGCCAAATTTCAAAAAACTTGGGCAAGCCCGGATGACACGCGCTGTAACGAAGGAGCGCCTCGCCAATCTCAAGGATCTCTTCGCCAAATGCCAGGATCTGCACGCGAAAATCACCCTGCTGGCCAATGAGAAAGTGCAAACAGAGCACGTCTACTTCCAAAATCAACAATTCATCGCGTGTGAGGACACCTTCAACGACACAGCGGATTGCATGGCCGAAGTCTTGGCTGCCTTTGATACACCGGTAATCCAAACTGCTGCGACCATTGACGTAAGAGGTCTGTCCGAAACGATTCGATCGTCCACCCATCTACCGAAACTGAATCTGCCGAGCTTTGACGGGAGCATCGACAAGTGGGAAAACTTCCGCGACCGATTCACCTCTCTGATTCGCAATGATCAAACTCTGTCTAACGTCGACCGAATGCATTACTTATGCTCTTGTGTAAAAGGGGAAGCAAGCAACGCGCTTAATCATCTTGCGGTAACCGATGTGAATTTCGCCGTGGCATGGGAAATTTTAATCTCGCGTTATGACAATAAACGGCGGTTAATTAATTTCCACTTAAATTCACTATTAAATCTACCGACCGCTGCAGCTAAGACTTCCAAAGACTTTTGCGGGATCCGCGACCAAGCTACTGCCGCGCTCCAGGCCCTGAAAAACCTCGGTCGCCCGGTAGAACATTGGGACGTTATATTAGTCTTCCTCGTCACACAAAAACTCGATAAGTCTTCTCGTGAAACCTGGGAACTCAAACTCGGAGCGTCAGCCGCTTACCCAACATTCGCGGAGTTCAATCAATTCTTAACGTCGCGCATCCGAGCCCTCAAAGTAATGTTGCCCGTACAGAGCGCTTCGAAAACTATAGATTCAGTTAAGCCCGCGAAAACGGCGACGCTAGCAACTCATGCTGCGCCGACTGTGATCTTTGCCTGTCCAGCCTGCAAAGGCAATCACTTATTGTACCAATGTTCTACCTTTTTGAATCAAACACCCTCTCAACGCTCCGAATTGATACGCAAATGTAAGCGGTGCATTAATTGCTTTAGTATCAAGCACACCAAAGTCAAAGACTGTACGAGTTCGCGCGCCTGTAAGCAGTGTTAGCGAAAGCACCATACGTTACTGCATTTTGATGCACCCACCATTTCCAATACTAATGCGCCTTCCGCGACCGTCACACCTGTGATCGAGGCAACCGCAACAAACGTGGCGACTCACCTTCTGTCTAACACCGTCTCTCCGCACTCAAAAATTCTGCTAGCAACTGCCCGCGTGCAATTGCATTCGCCACAAGGACGCGTTCTTTAGGCTCGCGCGTTAATTGATCAGGGCTCTGCCGCCACGCTTGTTACGGAGTCGATCGCTCAATGCCTTCGACTCACCAAAATCAAGCAAGACGTACGCGTTACCGGCGTCGGCGAAACGCAATCTTACGTACGTCATGCCGTTAAAATCACCATAACTCCCGCAACTAGCGACGGACCTGCCTACTCAACAAACGCGCTCATCTTAAAAACCTTGACCAAATATACACCGAGTCGCATCAATTCGACATGTAAATGGAAACATATTTCCGGAATAACATTAGCCGATAGTGAGCCCATGAGCCTCGATCCTATTGACATCATAATCGGAGCGGATATCTACAGCATGCTCATCCTCGAGGGCGTGCGTAAGGGATCCGCCGACGAACCGATCGCCCAAAACACCACGCTGGGCTGGATCTTATCCGGTCCAGTCTCTCCTTACTCCTCAAACTCCAACGTATCCATTCCTGTTCATCACGGCGCCATTTCCGAAAATCTCGATTCGGCCCTCCGCCGCTTTTGGGAAATCGAAGAAATACCCCAAAAAATACATTGGAGTCCCGAAGAAGTGCAGTGTGAGGAGCATTTTCTTGCCACTCACACTCGCACGTCAGATGGACGTTATGTCGTCAGGCTGCCGTTCAAGAATCCTCCCGTCGCGTTAGGAAATTCGTACGCCGCCGCTCTCGCAAGCCTGCACCGCCTCGAACAGCGCTTCCGTCGCAATCCGAGTACAGCCTCCGACTACCGCGACTTCCTCGCCGAGTATAGCAACCTTGGCCACATGACTAAACTTCCGCCGCAAGAAACGGGTAGTAATTCGTCGCAACGATATTACATACCTCACCACGGTGTCGTACGCGCAGGGAGCGCTACAACGCGCCTACGTGTCGTTTTTAATGCATCATGTCGAACGTCGGACGGCACGTCCCTGAACGACCACTTATTAATCGGTCCCAAATTATAGATTGATATTGCCACGGTGCTGATGCAGTGGCGACAGCATCGTTACGTATATACCGCGGATATCGAGAAAATGTATCGCCAAATTTTAGTGGATCAACGTGATACAGATTTTTAGCGCATCCTCTGGCGCCCGGCGCCCGAGGAATCCATTAACGAATACCGCTTACTCACAGTGACGTATGGCACTGCCTCCGCCCCTTACCTCGCGCTCCGCGTGCTCCGACAGCTCGCGACCGATGAAGGCCCGCGCTTTCCCCTCGCGGTTCCCGTACTACACTCGCAAACTTATGTTGACGATTGCGCATTCGGCGCAGACGATAAAACTCTCGCCCAACAAACGCGTGATCAATTAATCGCGTTACTGAGTAAAAGCAGCTTCCGACTCCGAAAATGGGCGAGCAATTGTGAGGAGCTCTTGTCGGATATTGATCCTTCAGATCATGGTCTCGCGAGGGATAAAGTCCTGCAGGAGGACGATAATATGAAGGTATTGGGAATCACCTGGAATCCGTCTCAAGATGTATTCCAATTCAACGTGGCCCTGACAATGAATGAGGGCAACTCCAAACGCGCTATTCTATCCACGATCGCGGGACTTTTCGACCCCTTAGGCTGGGTAGCACCGGTCATAATTGCGGCAAAAATTTTCATGCAAGAATTATGGCTCCTTAAATGTCAATGGAATGATCCAATTCTCAGCGAACACCTCAACCGCTGGCGAGCCTTTCAGTCAAAACTTCCAGGCCTGAGGGCGCTAAAAGTTCCGCGCTGGACATCGCAAGGTCCACACACCTTGCAATGTTCGATTCACGGGTTTTCCGATGCATCGACAAAGGCTTACGCCGCCGCGGTATACCTCCGCACTGTATCACTCAACGGCTCGATTACCACATTCCTCCTTATTGCAAAATCGAAAGTCGCTCCACTCAAGACCATTAGTGTACCGCGCCTCGAATTAATTGCCGCTCATCTCCTAGCCCGACTCATGAAATTCGTGCAAACGACCCTTCGAGTGCCCCCGCAAGACTGTTTCTGTTGGACCGACTCAATGATAACGCTCGCGTGGCTGAGTCAACCCCCGTCGCGGTGGCAAACGTTTGTCGCGAATCGCGTCTCCGCGGTTCAATCTATCTTACCGAACATCTCGTGGCGTCACGTCCCCACGACGGACAACAACCCGGCAGACTGCGCGTCCCGCGGCTTGGCCCCCGACGAAATAGCCCAGCACCCGCTCTGGTGGGCTGGGCCTCCATGGCTTAAACGCACGACCGATCTTTGACCCCCCCTCCAATCCGCGTCTAACGTTGCCCCGCCGGCATCGATACTCGAGGTGCGCGCAACGAAACCAGTAGGTACGATAAGTATCGCCGACCAGTGGGATCTCGCACATCGCTTCTCATCCTAGTCGAAACTGCTACGCGTGACGGCTTATATTATTCGCTTTACCCGTGCGGCACGGAAGAAATCCAGAGCGCCAGTTGACAAAGGATCGAACGAACTCCTACCGGCAATACTTCGTGATGACGAGATCCACGCCGCGAAAAGGTATTGGCTCCGCACTATGCAATCCGACTTATTCAAGCAGGACATATCGAACTTAGCGGCTCAACGTCCGCTACAAAAATCAAGCTTGCTCGTGGCGCTCAATCCGTATTTGGATGCTCACGGAATTCTCCGTGCGGGGGGAAGACTGCGCCACTCCCATCTCCCAGAAGCGGTGAAACACCCGATCCTGCTCCGATCTCATCCCTTCTTGACACTCCTCATTGAGCATCACCACCTTCGCACAATGCACGGAGGCCCGCAGCTCACGCTTACGTCCCTGCGCGCGGAATATTGGATCTTGCGCGCTCGCGCAACCGTGCGTGTGGTACTCCACAAATGCGTACGATGCGCTCGCGAATCCGCCAAAATCGCAACCGAGCTCATGGGAGACCTATCGGAGATGCGAGTTAATCGAGTTTCCCGCGCCTTTATTCATACCGGTGTCGACTACGCAGGTCCGATCGCAATTCGAATCGCCCCTGGTCGCGGACATAAGTCACACAAAGCTTATATTGCGCTATTTATTTGTCTTACTACAAAGGCGATACACCTCGAGCTTGTCAGCGATTACACCGCCTCGACGTTTATCGCCGCGTACCATCGATTCATTTCGCGACGAGGCCGACTCCAAAGACTTTACTCCGACAACGGAACAACATTCCACGGAGCCGACCGCGAAATGTCCGAAGCACATTTCAAAGCCATTCGCGCGCCAAATTTTCTCAACACGCTAGCGAGCGAGAAAACGTCATGGCACTTTATACCTCCCGCCGCGCCGCACTTCGGCGGCTTGTGGGAAGCCGGAGTTCGAAGCTTCAAACACCATTTAAAACGCTGTATCGGTACCCATACATTGACGTACGAGGAATTGACGACCGTCCTCTGCCGAATCGAAGCGTGTCTAAATTCGCGGCCAATCGCCGCCACCTCCGAAGATATTGACGACTACAATGCGTTGACCCCAGGGCATTTCCTTATCGGAACTCCTCTGATAGCGCTACCCGAACCAAGTCTCCTCGACTACAACGAAAACCGCCTATCGCGCTGGCAATTAACGCGACAGATCACTGAGGGTTTTTGGAAGTCATGGTTAAGCAACTACTTGCAAACCCTTCAGCAACGCCCAAAATGGCGCGTCGCGCAACGTCTGGCCCGTGAAGGCCAATTGGTACTTGTGCGCAATTCGTTAGCCCCTCCGAGTCATTGGGAGCTCGGAAGGATTCGGAAATGCCATCATGGCAGCGGTGGTTTAACTCGCGTCGTAACA